TTGAATAACTTATCTTTTAAGTGGATATTGAGCCAAAATATTTATCTCTTTCAAGGCATTTTGAACTTATGAACTGTCTTGGACCAATAAAATAAATTACCTTAACTTCGAGGGCACAATACTCAATTAAGTTAAGTTAAAATTTCATTTGGGGAAGTAATGAACAAAGCGTATACAAGTTAAACTATTCAGACTGGATCATCCAGAGTGCTTCATCGATGTTTATATACATATGTATTTTCATCGTATTTCGTGACTTCAATACACTTTTCTCAATTCCTACATAAATAACTTAAGAAAACAGAAAACTTCCAGCTCCAAATTAATTTTATTTCGGAAATTCTACCGTGATGATGAAATCAATTTTATAAATATTCGGCGCTTACTTTTTGTCGTGTGTTGGGCCGAGCTTTTCCTACAGTTAATGATGCGCGTCACACAAATGGAGAGCTCTTAACCGTCAATGTTTTTTAAGAGGTTTGGCAATATCCGCCCAACCTCTGATAGAAAAAAAGTGTTTCTATTATGATTTGATTCTGTGCAGACTAGGGGTCAGACGTGGATTATGCCGATAGCTAGTACCAAAATTGGTAGCAACTTTCATGACTAGACTGCGGTTTTTTATGCAGAAAACGAAGCCTAAAAATATGTACCACTTAACTATAAGTTTGTATACAGTTTGTTTGTAGTTATGTGGTACATGTTATTAAGCTTTGTTTTCTGCATAAACACCCGCAGTCTAATCATGACTATTCCCGATGACTAACGCACGGTGATGGTCGCCATCGTATGAATGACTTTGTGTGGTACACAAATCAATAAAGCTAAATAATAAATCGGTCATACATGCTAACATAAGTATGTATGTACATATTTTTTTCGATTGGTGATTATGGTAGAAATCTTAGGTTTCCAGAATACATGCACCAGCTCGGTTTATGATTGCTTCATTGTGGAGAAAACAGAAATTCGATTTTATAGCCACCAATTTCATGCGCTCCATATCAAACTTACAAAGGAATATAAATATGTACATACATGGGTATGCGATTATTCGCCTTTTCTCCAAAACCGGCTTTCGAGTTACTTGAAAAATTATAATTCGAGTAAAACCCTCTTTCCGATTTTCAAATTAAGTAAAAACCGGATAAATCGGATTCATTTGACATAGTTTTCATGCATTGGAAATGCTTATGTTGTTTGAAGTCATTACCAAAAATTATAATAAAACTATTAATAGAAAAGATAGCTTTTATTTAGAAAAGAGCAGAGCAAAACAAGTTCAAAGTTTTTTTTTTCATCAAAAGTAACACAAATAAAAGTCAATGAAAAATTATTTTAATTTATTTAATATTTTATTGCAGTTTTTCCGACTTCTTGAGTAGTGCTCTTGTTACCATAGCGGAGTGCTTAGATCTGCCTGCTGCCACTCGGGAGCAACATACAATTTTTTTTTCACTTAGCGGTAGCCCCTCGGTAGGCAATGACAAACCTCCGGGTGTACTTCTGCCATAAAACAGCTTCTTCGGATGTGGAGTCTCTCCATTTGTGTCACATCAAGAAGTAGAACACGAATTGGAGGAGAACTAACATAAAAACTCTTTTGGTTTGGAAAACCGAGTCAATCACCCGAGTACATACAAAAATATACACACATCTCTATGTATATGCTGGCATGAATAACATTCGTAGCATCTAACAAAACTTCCTAGTGGTTGTAAATGAATAACATTGTATATTATGTACTATAGATGGGCACGGGACTAAATATTTAATCCCGATCCCGCCCATACTGAAATTTAATTTGTGGGTCCCGAAATCTATCACTAAGAAAAATGCACATGTCTTTCAAATTAATTTTAAATAATAAAAAGTAATGAAATACCTGTCCACTTCCGATTTTTTGGTTCTTCATCGCTGTTCGTTTTCGTCTCAATAAAACATAAAAGAGTGCATATTTCATAAATCGTTTTCTTCTGAATTTGTAGTTTTATCCGGAGTGTCGAGAAAGGATTTTGCTCCCGTCCCGCACACCAAATTTTTACAGACCTTCCCGATACCGCACCTCCCGGCCAATTAGAAATCGGTACCGTGGGTATGGCGGCTCCCGACTTGCCGCGCCCATCTCTAATATGTACCCATGCATTTTAAACATGTTTATCTCTTTTCGATTGAAACTCAATTTAACAATTGGCTGAGTACTTCACAGGTTTACAAACTGTTCAGCTCGCACTACTGTCTGTTGCACACAAGTGCATAAATAAATAAGTACTACATAAGTTCAATGCGTAATATGAATACTTATAGTATATTTATACCCAATGAACCATATGACAAGCGAACTGCAATAGTGCTTAAGCACAAACTTACATCAGCAGCTAGTTTTAGCCATTTTTCTCAAACACATTTATAAGGGTGAACATAAAATTAAAATGTGTGTCAAATGACCCTAGAGCATATTTTAGTTTTTTTTTCTTTAAAGTGCATTAACAACTAAACAATAAATACATGAATGTTCAAAACATATATTTTGTATTTATTTATATTTCATCATCATCATCATCATCATCATGTCATCATATTTTGTGTTGGAATTTTTGCAATTTCTGAGAAAACGTGGGCGTAAACAAAAGTGTACCACAATTTTTTGCCCTTTCTGTGAGAGCTCAAAGCTTCCAATGGCACCGGTCTCATAAATAAATTTTTGACGCGGAGATGGAAAATATAGGATTCCGAATTTCAGCAAATGAAAATTTTGGGAATGTCATAATAATTCGCTAACTAAATACACCCCAAAGATATCCATAAATATCTATAAATAATTTTTTGTACCTAAATTGTTGAAATATCGCCCAGTGCGAAGGTTCAGTTTCGACAACAATTGCTGCTTCATGCTTTACCCTGGCATTGGTAAGCTTGTTATAATATTGTTCGTTTGGTTTACTAGGTTCTTTCTATGTAGGTACTTTATGAGAAGCATACTAACAGGCGCTATCAACGACGTGTGAAGGTTAGCTTTGCAAAGGGTAATCTTAGCAAGACAATGGCGCCAGGAGCTTTACATACACGTATGTACATACATATATATTATACATACACATTTTGTAATGTTCGTCGGCCTGCATGAGTTCATGCTTTCTACCTGTAGCGTACTTTGAGTATTAAATTATTATTATTTTTTTTTTGATTTTAAGGCCCGTTTTCTCAATTAAATAGGTTTTAAAATTTATCTGGCATTTAAACACAAATTTCGTTCTGAATAAATGTGTTTAAAGGGCACGTTAATTGTAAAACCTACATGAGAATACAGCACTAAGATCAATTTTAATCTGTTTGCTTGCTGGACAAACTAGATTTTTTTAAGTAGAACGTAAACGATTTTATTTTGTTGGTAAACTGATTATTAAATATTAACTAGGGATTGTGTATTTCCACAAAGTGTTCAATCCTCGAAGACGTCCAATGGATATAAGTATGTCACAAATTAAATGGAAAATTAGGTTAATTGATTAACTTTTAGTAAGTGTAATGTATTGGGAAAACCTTAGGCTATATTTTTTCTCAGTCTTAACTTTTTCAAGAAGCAAACTCCACAATTTTTTACCACTTTTCCTGCGGTCCAGCCCATGCTAAAAAATAGGAAGGTAGAACCGCTGAGAGGAATTTTTTGAATTCTTGACGTTTGCAAACAATTTAATTTTAAAATTTTATACACAAACTCACACACACATTCTCATTTTCAATCTCAACCAACAACAACTTTGAACAATTGCTTTTTTTTACTCTCAATTTTATATGATTTTAAAATGTTGGCAAACTTCAAAAAAAAAAATCATGGCCGACGAATTGAGAGAACGGTTTTACCTTACTATGTTTTTATCATGGTCCAACCTTTCCACAGTAAATCTATTATTTACATTTATGGTTCCTGATTAACCATATCATTTACTGGTGATCATTTCTTCAATAGATTACAATACAGAAAGAAGTCATCCGACTTCCAACTAAATAAAAGATAACCGTAAAATGCAAAACTGTAACATTTGCATATATTTACATTTTTGTCTGCTGGTTTTATTATTGATGTTGGATTGACTTCAAATCATTATAAGATAAGCAAGTACAGGTGTACTAATAAGACTAATTAACAAAAGTATGAAAGTCGTTAGAACTTGGAAAGGTAGCGATGGCTGAAGTTAAAAGTGTTACAGTTTTGCCCGCCAATGTATTTGAAATAAATAGTGGCGAAGGAAATGGATTAGCAAGAATTCATAAAAGATGGTGTTACCAGAGCAGCTGGATTTTCGCCTCGGTGGTTCTTAATGTCAAAAGGATATATTTGTTGTAATCCTTAGTGGCACAGTGCGTAAAATTTCTTAGTATAATTTTTGTTTTTGTACTCCTGCTATCACTTTATATGATTTCTTCTTTGGATGAATTGTATTTTTATTTAAAGCAAGAAAACTGTATTTCACGAGAATAAAATATTCAACAAAAAACCTATACATGAAAATGGACCCGAATCACGGCTAACGTGGTCGAACGAACCTCGATTCGAATCGAGTGAAATAAATTGAACACTGTTTTTTCTCCAATACAATTTGATTTGAAGAAGCAAACTCACTACCGAATGCTTAAAGGAAATTTCTAATAAAATTTTATTCGATGACGGATGCCCTGATTTGGACCCTGTATTAATGTAAACAATTATTCTCCGTCAGAGTTAAGCTTTCATTTTTATTTAAGGTTTGTTCGATGGCTAAATATGTGTGTTTATTTAAATCTCTTTGCTTTTTTTCGGAAATTATTGGTAGATTTTTAGCCTTTGTTGGTAAAAATTGTAGAAAATATAATATAGCTAAAAAGTTGGTAGATCTACTAATGAAGGGGTAAAGTCCGTGCATTAATTTTACATGCCAATTCGACTACAACAATTTTGCTTCGAATAATTCTTTGTAGATATGTATGCGAATATGCACTGAAATTAAAAATACACTTACTCATCAAGCTCCTCCTCAGACAAGGAATGGCTGTTACCGCTTAAAAGTGACATCTTGAGGATGAACTGCTTATTATCCAAAGTAAAATATCTGAAAGTTAGACAATGATACAAACACTTATTAGTATATAGTATTAGTACATATATCTACATATCGATGGCTGAGTGGAAAATCGACCCATGTCGGCAGCCAGTTCGCCCTAACTCAGAAAACTTTTCAAGAACTCCCTACTTCAGAATTTGATTGAAGAAGGCCCTATCTCAGAAAATTTTTCAACAACGCCCTATTTCAGAATTTGGCTGAAGAACGTCCTATCTCACAATTCGGTTCAAAAACGAACCCATCTCAATCGAAAATACATTGAAAATGAGCTGAGATATGGTGTTATTGAAACGAATTCCGAGATAGAGCGTTCTTCAACTAAATTCTGAAATAGGGCGTTGTTGAGGTCAATCTTCCACACAGCCATCGATATACAATATATTATGTATTTGTTAAATGAGAGCTTTTAAGTTGTTGATATAAATATTGATAATTACGTATGTAAGTACTATACATAGCAAATATGATACAATAATTTTTTGAAGGTATTTTCACTTTTTCTTATCCGCCATGTAAGCTATCTGACAGAAATCGTGTTTCGAATTTTTTGTGGTACCAACCTTTTCAAAAACGTAATCCAGCTTTTGACGTGGGAAAAATAAAACAAAGCAAAGCCAAACATTCATATGTATGTATTACTAGAGAAATATGCAAAAAATATTTAATAATTTTCTTCGTAAAAAATTCTGAAAAAAGTAACTGCTGCTTCCGTGGATGTTGCAACACCCGGCTATAAGAGCCAACGCACACCACAGACTTTATCGGGGCTCGCTTAAAATATGTATA